TCTCTCTCTCTCTCTCTCTCTCTCTCTCTCTCTCTCTCTCTCTCTCTCTCTCTCTGCTGGTACAGAATTAACAATTAAAAATGCAACATGAAGCCGGGCGGTGGTGGCGCATACCTTTAATCCCAGCACTTGGGAGGCAGAGGCAGGTGGATTTCCGAGTTCGAGAGTTTGAGGCTAGCCTGGTCTACAGAGTGAGTTCCAGGACAGCCAGGACTACATAGAGAAACCCTGTCTCGAAAAAAACCAAAAAAAAAAAAAAAAAAAAAGCAACATGATACAATGTAAGGAAGGTCACTCCAACAGGTTTACATTTTCCTCTCCCTAGTGGTTAATAATGTTAAGTGTGTTAAGTGTCTTTACGTGAGTCTTATATGCCTTCTTTGGAAATGTTTGTTCAAGACTTCTCATCTTTGGTTGTCTCAGTTTTTTTATATGCCTGGGTGCTGGTCTCTTAGCAGACAGGCTTTGTAAATTTTTTACTGTTTTACTCTCTGAGTCCTGTAATGACAATTTTGGAATTTTGGGTTCTTTAAAAAACATAGAAATTTAAGAATGTGTGCTCTTATTTTAATCCCATAGATGATGGAATATCTATGATAGATAGATATAGAGATGTGGGGATGCTTTGAAATGACCACAGCACCTGACTATGGTTTGTCTCATGCTCTAGCAGAGGCATGGTTTTGCTAGCTACAGTTTCTGCAGTTGTATGATATTTGGAATTCTGGGAACATAAATACTAGGGCCTGAGAGGAGGGACTGATGGTTGTTGGTTGTTTAGAGAGGTTGGTTATGGTTTGTTAGTAGAAGAGACACAAGGAAAGAAATTAGATTCAGGGATATTTCTAATAACTTTCTCCCCTCTATCTTTGTTTCTTTCCTATCTAGTGGTTGTGGACTAAAAAGGGTAGGAAAAAGAAGAACCCACAAAGTAGCAAAGACCAGCTACAGAGTCCTTTTAGGCACCAGTTTTTAGTTTTGATGAAGTTCATTGTATTTAACTTTTCCTTTATTTATTGTGGATTGAGAGTCATTCTCACAAAATCACATTTAATTTTCAACCATGAAAGTCTGGAATATGTGTTATGGCATTGTTTGGCTTCAGGATGTGCAGCGCAAAATCCCACTGGGGATTCTAGCTTTGAAAACTTAAAACAGGCAGAGTTTATAGAGCTACAGAAAAAGCATATCCTGTAGGCCCCAGAGGGAAGGCATGGCAAAACAGTGTGTCTTTTGGGCTCAGGAGTTTATAATTATCCTATTACTGTTATCGAGTTTTAACACTGCCAGGTAATTAGTTCTGATGGAGAGAGGTTTCCTTTTCTGTGTTTTATCTACCTAGTCCATCCACTTTATACTAAATGGAGAAATAAAACCCAAGGATAATGTCCCCTGAAGAAAAAACAAGTTGTGTTGGTTTATATTGGCTCTAATTGGAGACTGGTCATTTCTAATCAGAAAGTGAATTTATTATACAATAAGAAAGGTAAAATATTTGGCCTCAGTTAAGATCTAAGTACGAATATTCAAAGGTGCATTAAGATATTCTACTAATGTGAAGGCCTTCTTGTTTGTCTGTTAGCATCGAGCCCTGAATAGCTTTGTAAGTTAAATATTTATAATCACAGAACTGGGGTGTTTCCTCGAATTGGTGCCTTTTCGAGAGCTGTCTGGCATCTATGTTATTGAAACAAATGAGAATTTCTTGCATTGAAACAAATGAGAATTTCTTGCATGCAAGCAGTGAGTGTTGCTCAGGTCCGCCTGCCACTCCTTCCGTGGATGGCTAGCACTGGAGCTCAGAGTCTGTCTTACACCCAAGTCAGAAGTGAAGCCTGCTGCAGTGCTGGGCTTTTGTCATTTCTCATTTTTTTTTTAAAGTATTTTCGTTATTACCAAGAATTTAGTGACAATAAGAAGTAGGAAACTTCCTGCTAAATTCTTTCTTTCCCTGGCATTTAGTTTTTGTTGCACATTATGTCTTAGCAGTAATATGTGAGTCCTGTAGCATGTATGATTGTAACTAAAAGTATTCTGATGTTGATGATGGAATTTTGTGCATGTCAGGCAAACATTCTGTCACTAAGTTACAGCCCAGTTTACAAGAATTTTTGTTTCTTTCTTTCAGGTGAAATTCCTAAGCAAGTTAAAGTGAAAAAGCTGAAGAACCTAAAAACTCTGGATTCTAAACCTGGTATTGACTTTTATTGATGACTTTTCTTATTTCGTATCTCCTTGTGCCATAGTGCATGTGTGGAGGTCAGAGGGCAGTTTGGGAGAGTTATTTCTCTCTCTCCACCATGGATTCTAGAGATGGAAGTCAAGGAGTATGGCTTGCACAAGCACCTTTCCCAGCTGAGTCAGTCTGTTGGCCCAGACTTTTATTAATTTTAAGTATATACTCACCTAGGCTGTTGGGTTTTTCTGTTTATCTTCTTAGGGGTTTATACTTCTTACAAGCCATATCTAAACAGAGATGAGGAGATCATAAAACAACTCCAGAAGGTAAATATCTGTTCATATTATTAATTTAAATCTCCTCATTGAGGTATTTAGTAATATTTAGTCAGGCAATGTGTGGTTCTTGTTTTGTTGTCGTAGTTTGTTTTTAATAATAATGTGAAGTTGAACCTCACTTTTTAAACACTATACTGCTGATTGAACCTCATGCATGCTAGGCAAGGGCTTTACTGTGACATGTATCCCTAGCTTAGAAGCTTATTTTTTCTTCTGTTAGCCTTAGCTGGCCTAGAACTTACTATGTAGGCCATGCTGGTCTCGAACTTGTAATCTTCCTGGTTCTGCCTCTAAGTACTGTATTACAGGCATGTGCCATCTTGTCTTGGTTTGGATATCTTTGAAAAATTAAGATGTCTCTGTGTTTGTGTGTGTGTATGACTCGATTCTTTCTTTCCACCTTTTATTTGGCCTCTAGGGAAAATGCCTTCACTCACTGTGACATCTTTCTAGCTCTGAGTCACTTTTGTTTTCTCGCCTTGCACACCTCAGCCCCAAATCACTTTTAAACCCAACCTTAGGTCTGTATGTTGTTGCTCAAACTTGTAATATCAGCACTAGGAAACTGAGATGGAAGGATCTAAGTTCTAGACCAACCTGGCTAAATAGTGAGCCCTTGTCTCAAAAGTAGACACATAGGTCTAGTGAGATGACTCACCAGGGAACGGCATTGGCTGCCAAGTTAACAACCTGATTCAATCTCTGGCAGGGACTCAACATGGTGTAAAGAGAGAGGAAAAAACTAACTCCCACAAGTTGCCCTCCACACATTTTGCTGTGGTACATGTGTGCTACTTCCCACATCGCCAGTCATACACACACACTGCTACATACAAAATGAATGCATAAAGCAAGCTCAATCCCAGGATCTCCATGATAAAGACAGAACTGACCCCTGCAGGTTGTCCTCTGATCTACACAACCACTCCTTGGCACACATGTGCACATGCACACATACAAACTAAATGACCAACCCAGCTCAGTCAGTCAACAAGGGTCTCAAGGGAGGGAGTGAGGATTGAAAAAGAAGAACAACAGTTAGACAGAGTTATAACCTGACTCCAGCCAGTGCTGAGGCTGAAGTAGCTTTAGGTCTCTCCAGCCTGCTTTTATATCAGTCTAGGCATATCCCAAACACAATCAGTTCTTGGATCAAAGGCAAAATAATCAAGTGAAGTAATAAACAAAAGGATCACGTAAGATAGTAATTAAATAGAATAGTAAGATAAAAGTATCACACAAGGTAATAATTAGGTAAAGTAGTAAACAAAGCCCCATCGCATAGATTTGAGTGTTGGCTCTGTAGATATGGGAAAATGCCAGTCATTCGGGAATCCTAGACATTGAAAAATGCCACTAACAGAAAAATGCCACTAACAGTAAGAGAAAATTTTGGGAGACTTTTTGCTTTAAGAAATGTCAGTAGTATTAATATAACGTATGTAAAATAAAGATTATTTTCACTGTAAAGTGATGCTGTTAAGTATGGGATAAATGATATTAATAAATCTATATGTTCTCAGGTTTTACTGAGGATTTTTAAATTAAATTTATATTTGAATGATAAGTGCAAATTATATTAATATAATACTGCAATATATATATATATATATATATATATATATATATATATATATTGTATAATGTCTAAGTCAGATTAAACATATCCATTTCTTCAAACATTTATTTCTTTTGAGTGAAAACATTTAAAATTCTTCTGTTTTTTAGATATTTAGTACATAATTATTCTGTAATTACCCTGCTATTCAATAAGAACACACCAAAACTGCTTGCTCTTGACAAGCTGTAACTTAGTACAGTTACAGTTAAGCTTTCCCTCCCTACCCTGACTCTCTCCAGTCTCCAGCTGAAGTTTCCTTTTACAGAATTTTACAAAATGAACTTAAAATTAAAGTACTTGAATATAACATCCTAGGGGTTTTGGTTGGTTGGTTGGTTGGCACTAAATTTAAATGTCTAGTAACAAAGCAGTTGGAGTTGGTTGTTATCTTCCATTTCCTGACACTAAAATATGGATTTCCATTTTCTTCTTTCAAGGGTGTACAGCAGAAACGTCCTTCTGAGGCCCAAAGCGTTATTCTCCGACGCTATTTTTTGGAACTGACACAAAGTTTCATCATTCCATTAGTAAGTTATTAATCTTAATGATTTGTTGAGGGTGTATAAATGTGATTCCCATCTTTCAAATCATGTTATATGCTTCGCCAATTAGTATGTTTAGTGACTTATGAGAGATATGGATTCTTTATTGTAGCCCTGTTTCACTTGGTAAGTCATCTGATTCTCAGTTTGCTTGTCCTTGATATGTGGCTGATTCTATGGTCCTTGAATACCTTTGAAGTTTGTTAATGAATTTTTTGAAGCAGGGTTGGAGTTTATGAAGAGATGGTCAATATGTATTTCAAGCACTAGGTTTAAGAGAAAGACTAGCACTCAGAAAGATACCCCTAAGAACATGGTCATGGGCTTCTTGAAGGGTAGTCATCTGTTGTGAGTCTTGATTGAGATACTGATATAATTTTTTTTTGCTTGATAAAATTTTATTCTTTTTTTATTCACCATTCTTTTGAAATAGACTCAGAATTGTCTGAGTTGCTTTTTTATTTCTGTGATAAGAGACTGTGATCAAGGTAACTTATACACAAAGTTTATTGGAGCTTATAGTTGCAGAGGGTTAGAGTCTGTGACCATCATGGTGAGGCCATGGCAGCATGCGTGAAGTTATGGTGCTGGAGCGGAAGCTGAGAACCTGAGTCTTGATCCACAGTCATGAGGCAGAGAAAGCCAACTGGGAATGGGCTGAGCTTTTGAAGCTCAAACTAACCTCTAGTGACACACCTCTTCCAACAAGGCCACATACTGCCTAATACTTCCCAAATGGTTCCACCAGCAGGGACAAGTATTTACATATGTGAGCCTATTCACTCAAACCAACTCCTCCCCCCCCACCCACCCCCCCACCCAAGAATGTATAGAGTTAAACTGATTGGAGTGGGGTAGCAGTGAAGGGGGGGAGGGGGGTGCTGGGATCTGTCCCAAGGCCTTGCACTTGCAAGGCAAGAAAGTTGAGCACAAAACAATGGAGTCAATCCATAATTCCAGGTGATAAACATTACAAGACACCAGCTAGCTGCCTTTGATATGAAACTGATTGATCATCCAAGATGATTACCTAACAACCAGATATCAAAGTGGAACATTATTGTGCATACCTACAATCTCAGCACTTAAGAGATAGTAACAGGGGATTTTGTTGAAAATCAGGGGCCAGTCAAGGGCCTAGAGTTCGTCCCTGCCTCAACAACAACAACAGAATCAAAAACCAAACAACAACAGCAACAAACCCCTCCACAACACTGAAAAGGCCTCATGCTGCAGAGGCAAGGCCAGGTTTGTGCATGAACTGCACAGTGGAGTGGGCGGCTGAGCCTTCACCTGCACATGTTACTTAACAACCAGCAGTCAACTGTAGTTGCCCCTGCACATGCGCCTGTCTGTCTGTCTGTCTGCTCCTCTCTCTTCCTCCTATCTGTCCTTTTTTCCCTCTTTAGCCTTGGCTGGCATGGAACCCACTATGCAGATCAGCCTGGCCCCAAATTTGTGGCAATCTTCTTGTGTGTCTAATACCTTGTTACTGCTGATATGATATGTGTGTGCTACCACACCTGGCTAAACGTACTGTTTATTAGGTGCCCCAAAGCCCAGTGAAGTTGTATCACTATAAAGCCACAATTTATTAGTCAAGTGTTTTATCACTGTGACAAATTCCCAAAAACACAGGTCAAAAGGAGGATTTATTTTTGCTCATAATTTCAGAGACTTGAGTGAAAGGTCAGCCTGTCCATTGTTCTAGGCTCGAGGCAGGGTAGTCTGTCACAGCAATGTGAACCTGTAATAGACGCTGCACACTTTGTGAGAAAGGGACAAGGTGTCCATCCAGGGTTGGTACTGTCAGTGACCTCTTGGCAGGCCCTACCTCGTCCTAGCTCATTCCATACAAGTTTAGCAGTGGATTAACCCATTGATGACTTAAGTGCTTCTGTCATCTGCTCACTTCTCAGTTGCATCCCCAGCTACGGAACCAAGCCTTCAATGTCTGAGTCTTGGTAAGATGCTTTATATCCAACCACAGAAACCCCTTAAGGTAGTAAGTTTAATACCAGTGGTGCATACATCTTCTGAACTAGCCTGTGGTGAGATTTTATACAATGCCTGCATTTTGTACCTTGAGAGGTCACCCTAGAGTTTTTTTTCTCTCTACTGATTGTTTGTTTTTGTTTTGTTTGATCTTACTATGTGGCCCTGGCTGGCCTGAAAAATCACTATGTAGATCAGGATGGCCTCCAACTCACAGAGATATACTTGCTTCTGACTCTCAAATCCTGGGATTAAAGACATGTGCTACTGTACCTGGTTTTTGGTTTTGTTTTTTGGGTTTTTGTTTGTTTGTAAACAGGTTGATATCATATCCAGGAGCTGTATTACTTACATGTGTCTTGTTCTGATACTGGTTTGTCTGATACTGATACTTGTTCTGATCTTGTCTTGTACTGATACTGGTTTTTGGTTTTGTTTTTTGGGTTTTTGTTTGTTTGTGAACAGGTTGATATCATATCCAGGAGCTGTATAACTCTGAAAGGGACTTACATGTGTCTTGTTCCTTAGCACAGCCTCATTCTGATATAGGGTAGCCTTTAACTATTTATTGAATAAATAACTAGATAGTATAGCCATTCTAAGAAACTCAGCAGAGTGGGATATAAGTATCAGCAGTATGACAGTGTCTTGGTCTAGAAATTGAATCATTGCTTTTATGTAGTTGCTATAGAATCTACAAACATTATATGAAAGCAATCTGAAAATATTTGTTGTTCGTTTTAGAAAAAAAGTATTCTTTCTTGGTTTGGGGATAGAATTTTGATCCATTTAAACCTGTGTTATGCCAGGGAGATTATTCAGTGGTACAATAAGCAACCTTGGATTTGAGGCCTAGAATCAAACTTCATTTTTTTGGTACTTAGGAACATAGGCTAAGGTGGGCCTGGTGATTCACTTCTATAATCTTAGCACTCAGGAGGCTAAAGCAGAAGGATTGTCACAAGTTGAAAGTTAGACAAGGCTGATGCTGTCTCACAAACAAAAAACAAACAAGCAAACACAACAAACCAACAAAATGCAGAGCTGTGGAGCCCAATTCCAACTGAATAATCCACAACACAGTTCCTCCACTGAGGGCTAGGGGTGCTTCGGAATCATCGTGTAAGAGGGAGTAGAAAGAGTGTAAGAGCCAGAGAAACAGAAGTTTGCTGTGAGATTTCATCTCTTAGAAACATCAGAGGCTACACCCATGAAGTCTCACCAGTGTGGCTGCCTAAACATGACAAGAACCATGACAACATCGATAGGCATACTCACATGGAAGAGAAGACGAAAACTGTAGGCAACTAAGGAATGATGAAAGTGGGAGGAAACGGTCTTTCCTAGGGAAGGGCACACCAGTTGGTTATCCACTACCAGGTAGTCAGACTGGAAACATACATACAAGTACTAGTAGACAGGCAGGGCAAGTGGTACTCTGTGTGTATGTTTAAGAAGATACACACACACACACACACACACACACACACAGAGAGAGAGAGAGAGAAAGAGAGAG